GCAATGTTTTCTTGTACATATGATCTCTTTTAAAGTAATATGTAGTTTTTTATCCCATTATGTTATCAATAATTTCTATTCAATTATCATTACAAACGTTTAAATATAAGTGATAAAATGATGATTGATAATAAACTTTTTGAAAATATATTTTTATGGACAAAACTTAGGTAAAGTACCATAGTACTAATCCACGTTTTATAATTTATAGGTTTAAATCCACGTGTCACCCTATAATTTATAGGTTACAAGTACCATTAGTACTTATGGTACTTTACCTAAGTTTTGTCCTATTTTTATACCAACGGTATATATATATTGTATTTTTCTTTTATCACACCCTTAACCTATCATCATTCGTGTATGAATAATACACATACATATGAATATAATATTCTCTCTTAAAATTTAGACATGTAAAGTTAGTAAAAATGTTACATTTCTTCGTAAATTATCCAGCGGAAGATTGTAATATGTTTTAGGTTAAGTTGAGTGCAGATATATTGGAATTCACTTTTAACAACACTGAAGTTCTTGGATTCGATTTCAACATGGCACTCGCTTCTCGCCTCATTCCCAAATCCAAATTGGTCTCTCTATTCTCTCATTTCCATACTCTTTTATTTATTATTCATTTTCGTTTGTTGCCCGAATACGATTGAATTTCATTTTTTATGTTCTGATTTATGCCTCTATTGTTGCAATGTCGATATTTACATAGTTTCTGTTTTTTTATTTTTATGAATCGACTTCTGATTTTATAAGAATGAATTATTTGAAAAAGAGAGAATAAAACATTTAGAGGAGAGATCCTTTTAACTGGTGCAATTCATAAAACATTCTTACTTGTTTTCTCACAAAATCTACAATTGGATTGTGAAAAAATAATAAATTCATTGAGAAGTTATTGATGGTGTAAGAATGTTTTTAGACTTACGTCGGTGTAAACTGATCCTTCCTCTCATTTATATATGTGCATGTCTGTTCTTTATAGGTAATCGAAAAATAAATAAATAGTTAATGTACTGTCTCAATTCATCCTATTTCATCGGATTCAGAATGTGATATGGTTCCTAGGATGAATGTTCCAATAAGATTTTATTCTTCAACAAAAATTTGATATACTCATCGGTATTGAAGGGAGGGTCCCAATGGAGCTCATCCATTAGGAAGTGAACCTACTAATTTGCCAATTGGGTTATTTATATGAAAATAATGTATTTCCTCATACCAGGAGATTACTTACCTCCCCCGGTCGGTAAAAGAATGACATGTGTATTGTTTTGTTTTGTTTTAGAAATATTTTGTAGAAAATGATTAAATGGTACACATGTCATGATTTTAGTGGTTGTAGGAGATAATTTATCTCCTTATACCAGGAGATACATTATTCTCTATTTATATATGTGTATATGTATGTGTCACACTGCCACCTTATATTTTGTAGAAGCCATTCTCAGAGTACTTGTAGAGTTCCCCCTGATGGAACTGATGCTTTCATGCTTAAGCACCCTTGTTAATAGTTAGTTAATGTGAGAAATGTTTTTTTATACCTACTGATTTCTTGCCCTTGTGCTCATTTTCCTCCTCTTTTATAGGTCTATGGAAGTCAAGTACTTCTGCAAAAGGAGTATGCTGTTCCAATTCGTCACTTTGCTAAAGAGTCTGCCCCTCCCGCCCTTAAGGGAGATAGTGAGTTCTCGAGTTTTATTGTTTATTTTAGAGTTTCTTTGCCGAGTTGTTCACTGTACTTAGTTATTTGTCTAATTGTTGATTAATTAGAAGTGGAACAAAATACCATCTACTTCTGTATTTGATCCACTAGTGGGACTTTATTTTGCTTTATGTAAAGCAGAAAATACATACGCTGTTTGATCTTTAATAGAAATTTTGTTCTTTTTCTGTCACCTTCTTACAATGTACTCTTAATTTTGTGTAAATAGCGATGCTTAAGAACATCTTTGTGGAGTTGAAGAACAAATATGAGACAGCCATGGGACTATTAAAGAATGAGAAGATCACCATTGATCCAGATGATCCAGCTGCTGTTTCTCATTATGCAAAGGTCATGAAAACAATTAGAGAGAAGTGAGATTCTGCTGCACCTTATTGTTTTCATCATATTCTTTCTGTTGAATATATTGTTTGTTTATTTCTTAATATTTCAAACATTTGTTGTACCTTCTTAAAGATGTTTTAATGCTAAATCTTTGGTATAGGCTCCTATCCTATTGGGCACAAATTATATGCATATATATTTAATTTAATTTCTAGTTCTAAAAAGATTTTTAATGAATTGAGAATTGACTTGTGCAATTTGCAGGGCAAGGTTGTCCTCAGAGTCCCAACATATCCAAGAGTCCATTGAAACACAAACCGCAGATATTCCAGATGCTCGAACTTATCTTCTGGCCCTGAAGGAAATAAGAATCAAGTATGTGATGGTCTATTCTACTTTCTCCATTCTGTTATTAGATGAGATTATTGCTATATATTGTGCTCATTTAATTTTTTAGTTATATTAAGTTCAGTACCATTTGTGTGATATGTAATATGGTCCTTTCATTTCAATTTACCTTTTTGAGCTCATTGTTAAATGATACTTTCGCTTTAACACTTCTGGTTCTAAAATTTGCCAAATCTTTGTTTTTTCCTGAAAACTGTAACTACTCTATTATCATTGAGGTTTATCCGATTAGTTATATTTTCCAAACCTTTGTGTATAGATTTGTTTTATATACACAACTCAAAGGAAAGGCATAACAATGCACACATTCTTTGCTTCAAGATGTCTTGAGTTATCTACTTTATGAGTTCATGTATTGATGTGTGCATTCTTTTTACAGGAGTGGTCTTGCAGATGACCTTGGTGCAGAGGCTCTGATGATACAGGCATTGGACAAAATTGAAAAGGATTTAAAAAATCCTCTGCTGAGACATGATAAAAAAGGGATGGACCTTCTCTTGGCAGAATTTGATAAGATTAACAAGAAGTATGTTCACATCTCTGCATATTTGTTCAATATGTTGAGCTAATATTTAGTGGCATCTAGGTTCTAGCCTTTCAAGCTTTCATCCACAATTTAGTTCATTTACATTGTTGTCGATTGTGAGCATGGTATGCTCTGTATAAATAGTTATTTGGTGACTTTATAAATGTTATTATCTGATTTTATAAATCCTAGAAACAGTCTCTCCGCTTGCGGGGTAAGGTTGCGTACATCTACCCTCCCCAGACTCCACTAAGTGAGAGTGTCATGCAATAGCCTGCCCATTTATATTCTCTGTTTGAGCAGCATTTATTTACTATAAACCTCATGGAATTTGAAAATCCTTGCTTCTTCTGGCAGTGTAGAGGAGATAGTTTTTTAGGATAAGTATAGGAGAGAGAAACATTGAACCTTTTGCATCAATGTTGACACTTCTCAATTCTTAGGGAATTGTTTAGTCTAATATATCCTGCTGGTTGCCAATTGACATGCTTCTTTGGCTGATTTTAAAAGGCCTTGTTTATTAGTGGGGATTCTGAAGCCTTTATTCCTATTAAGTTGAGCAGAATGAGTAACTGGATTGTGATTACTTTTTCACCTTTTGTTTTCCTCTGTTCTTTTTAACACCTTTGGTGGTGCCACAGACTTGGAATTCGGAAAGAAGATCTGCCAAAGTATGAAGAGAAGCTAGAACTTAGCATTGCCAAAGCACAACTGGAGGAGCTGAAGAAGGATGCTCTCGAGGCTATTGAAACTCAATCAAAGAGGTATTACTCATGATGCCATTTCTAACTATTGTATATTCTGTCTTTTCTTGCCACCATCCTCTTGATGCTTTACACAGAACACCTTTGATAATCACATATTAGTGATCTTTATTTTGGGCTTCAGTCTAACTCATAAGATAGCAGTACAGAATGATGATCCCTTGGCCTCTCCTATTATTGTTGTTTAGCTTTTGAACTTGTAATATATGACTATGACATTGTGACCAATTGTGGGGTAAGGTTGTCCCTTGAGATATTTAGTGACTACTAATTAATTATTGCTTACAGCCACATATGGATAACTGCTAAAGAGGACTATTCTCTTTCCCAAACCTAAATGATAACTACTACTTATTTGTGTTTATGTGCAGCAGGATAGAAGTTTTTACCATTTTTGAATATTCAATTTTCATTTTCATTTTTGCCATTTTCAGAGAGGAATTCAAGGATGAGGGAACAGTTGATGTCAAATCTTTGGACGTCCGAAACTTCATTTAAGATACCTGTTTGCTTACATTCAAAATCATTGCATTTGGATAATGGTGGAAACCTTGTTTCTTTAATAAGTATACACCTCTGATTTGGAAGTGCAACACCAATGCCAGTTTGAAAACAATTAAGTTTTCAAGGCTCTGTATATTCCAAATCACTGGTTCAAACTGGAAATTCGAGCTACCAAATTTTATAGTTTTTGTGCTGTCACGTTGTTTCTATGTATTTATTTTTACTGAGATCTTATGTGTATTCCCGTTTATGATCGTTTTCCATATGTTTAGTTGAATTTAGGCGACCCATGCAACTATGTTCTTTCACATTTATTGTTAAGAGATCCAGAAAGAAAATAATTGTACCTAGAATTCGTGAAATTGATATTATTTTTTTCAAAAACTGTTTAAAATAAAGTAGTCTCACTGAGGAAAAAAGAAATAAGTTTGGGTTCAATCATCAGTTACACAAAGGTTAACCTTTTGAAGGTTCTCTCATTGAGTACTATAACCTTTTCAAGTGGAACTCTAATTATTTTCACTTTCGAGAGTTTCTATAAGTGGTATAAACTAGATACTGTCCACGACTTTGGAAATTGGAATTAAATTGAAAAAAACGAAGGTGGTGTTTTTAATCATTAATTTACGAATCAGACACCACCTAACAATTTGCTTATGTTTGAAAATATTAATATTGTATTAAAGGAACAAAAGGTTAGTTTTATACGTTTTACATAAAACAATTACAGGAGCAGAAAGTACTATTACACCATTAAGGCATAAATAAACTGTTCAAAAAACACAAACTGATCGTAGTGAAACACCCACAGATCCCATTTCCCATTAAAACAGAGAATAGCTATACATAAAACAATTACAGGAGCAGAAAGTACTATTACACCATTAAGGCATAAATAAACTGTTCAAAAAACACAAACTGATCGTAGTGAAACACCCACAGATCCCATTTCCCATTAAAACAGAGAATAGCTATAAAGCAGGTTCACCAAATAAATTATATATAAGAACAAAAGTGATGGTTCAAGTTAGCTTAGCACACCAGGCATGTGGAATGGATGAGCAGCAGCCTGTGATCCCTCCACTGTCAAGAGCCAGAGGTGTTCGCTGCTCTGTGAAACCAGCCTCACGCTTTGCCCTCTTATCTAGGAGACATGATACTTATGCTTTCGCTCAAGTACCATACCTCAACTCTCAACTTGGAGTGGGCAAGCCAACATTTGTTGAACCAAACCCACCTAGAATGTCATAGCCATGTTCCATCACCTTGATGCCCCCACTCAGGTTACAAGCTACAGTTACTTAGCTCAGCAAACTGTTATGAATGTCTGAAATTTATAAACAGTAGTTTATGTCATGAATATTTGGATGTGGGACTTGTGTGGTTGATATAGTTTTCTTGATTATGTCCAACTGACCCTTCTTAAAACAATAGTATACATAAGATAATCCTCGGATTTGTGCCTATTTTCTGAATATCCTCATGTTTTCTTTCCACACAAATATATATATCAAGCAAACAATAGACTTCTGCTTTCTTTTACGATACTTTTGTCCATATAAAGCAAATTAAATCCATGTGCTTTAAATGGGGATGGTTCTGCAACAATTCCAGTGCTTAATGTGATTCAAAATAGATAGAAGTAAGCAGATTTTACTGTGAAAGTTTCATTAGCAAACACAGTTCAACTGTCATTGTTATAAGCATTTTTCTGTTTTGTTCTAACCTGTCACTTTTTTCCAATACCAACTTGAGTCTTGTGGGGCTTTATAAGATCAGAAGTTTCTCTAGTTCATGTAGATGATGGCATTTATCCCAAACATATCTTCATATTGCAGCTTCATTCCAAACACCATTTCTCCTAATTCCAAGCCTAACCAAGTGTTTTTGACCTACTTAAGATCCTTACATACTCTATTCACTCTTTCAATAATGGATTGTGGAATAAGGAAAAAACTGCGCATTAAGTGTGTTCGTTTAACAGCAGAGTTAATAAGCTAAAGTCCACCAGATTAAAACGTAAATGCCTAGTTAACACAGACTCTATCCAGAGTTACTTAGTTTTTGGGCAACGACAATTTATCAAAAATTGTTTCAATAGGCAATTAGGGCAGACCCTGGTCATTAAAATTTAAACTAGAATTAAGAGGGGCCGCGCGAACGCAGGCCCCAACTACCACAAATTATGACGTAGGCTCCACCACTTGGGTAGACCTTAGGAGAGCACCCCTCCTAAGTGCAATGGAGGTCACTACCCTAGGCCATGGGCCTTTTTGATCACCCATTGACCCCGTCCAGGTAAGTACCTTTCTCAGTGTCAACCACTTCATTTTTATAACCTATTCTTCACACTACTCCACTAAGACTCAACGATGTGGGACTCTGAGCTGCAAGTACTTCATTGCAATCATTCTTGACTATATTGAAAGGTATGTCCCCAAAGGTTATGCCATGAAAAAACATGAAGCTTTTGATCTAATAGTGCAGATTTATATCATCCTATTTGTTTGGATACAATCATCACTGTCGATTCCAACCCCATCATCACCTCCTAAGTCCTAAGTGATAACTCCATCATCAACCCCTTTTACATATGAGGCATCTTCATATCAACACGTTTTACTCATCAATCATTATAAAAATAAGTGTTGGAAAACATCTTAGAAAAGTTATAGCGAGATAGAAAATCTGAAAGTTTCAATGAGATTGAGAAACGAGTAATTAGTGCATAATGGCCGGAATCTGAAAGTTTCAATGATGAAGAACATGGTCCTGTTCCAAAAACAAATGGAACGATACTTGTACAAAATGACCGTGTATGATTATAAAACAATCTAAGTGGAAAGGGCCATAGAAAAACCTTGAATCAAACAAACCCATTAGATATGCAAGTTAGAGTTGGACCATAATTTATAGTGCTGCTAACAAAATAAAGGGTTTAATGCAATTTTTCCCTTCTAGTTTCACCAATAGGTGGAATTTGTCTCTTGTGTATCAATTTTAATATATTGAGTTTCTTAAGCTTGTAACCCAGTATAGTAAAATACTTAGAATTGATTTGAAAAGTAAAATTATAACAATTAGATTAAGAATTAATCAAATTTTAATTTAACCAAATCCAAAGCTGAAAAATGTCACAACTTCTCAGCTCATAAAAGAACTCAACTGACAAGGTTTTGACTCGGTGATGAAAGGAGTTTAGTGAAATATATATAAAGTATCACATGTAAAAATTAATACAATCGTTACATTATCATATGTTCATTTGTGTTTTTTTAAGTTGAACGATATATAATACAATAAAAATATATCACGATGTCGAATGAGTGTAACACCTATGATTACATTTTTAAGATGGAAGAATAAAATAATATATATATATATATATATATAACGAATCACATCATAGATTATATTCATTTAATCCAAAAAAAATTAATTATTTTACATATTGTTTTTAATATATCTCTTCCTCTTCAAATTAAACTAGCTTTCATTTGATATATTCTCATTATGGAACTTCTATCAATCTATATTTGTCCAACCACATTGTCATCCCTATCTAAAATATTTAAAAATAGAATTTACCATATTTTCTATATTAATAACTGCTATAACTTTCACTCTAATACCTTTATTTGTATTTCATTTCTAATGTGTGTTTCAATCCTATCCAATGTAATATTATATAGGTTTTATTAGATAGAGTTTATATAGAAAAGTTTAATTGAAATTCATTGACACTAAATGATAAAAGTGTAAGCATATTTGAGTGGTTCTTCTCTCTCTCTCTCTGTTTTGTTTATCAAACAAGAAACTTCATGTCTGTTCTGTCACCGCAACAATTCTTCATGATTTCACTTCACAAATCCTTTTTACATGTTTTTCAAACAACAACCCCTTCTCTTCCAAATTTTGCTTTTCCTTCCTCACTCTCTTTTCGCCATGCCTTTTCTCATTCTCCACACTTACGCCTTCATTTTCGGCCACCCCCAACCGCCTTATCCGCCGTCACGCCAGAGAACCAATCACCCGAAACTCCGGTGAGAATTGTGGCTGTCGTTGGCCATGATGCTGTTAGCCCTCTTAAGTCACAACCATGGGAACAAGTCATGCTTCATACTGTATGTTCAAAACTTTCACTAGTTTTTTTATTTAGCAAAATGTTATTTTATGTAGAATTATGTTTCCAATTCAGTTTTTAAATTAGATATAGTTTTTTTATGGATGGAAATGTTAGGCTACTTATATTTTCCGCATACATCACTAAGTGTGAATTTCGTGTAATTGGATGATTGGTTGATTTATGGTTTCAAACCAGTCGTGATTGCAGTTATGTTGCTATTACTGACAATTGCGCGAAAAGCAGCTGGTTGCAGGGAAGTCATCGCTGTAATTTAAAACCTTGTGGTGGATTGATATATGTTGTTCCAAAGCGCTTTTCGATTTTATGGTCCAGTGTTAGCATTCATTTTAAGTGAGAACTTGGATGACTACTATTGAGAAGTGTTACACATTTAGTAGGAAAAGGTTGTTTGGGTAGTGTACTATCTATAAAATTTGGTTCATTATCATTGCTCGATGAAGTTTATACAGCTTTAAGTTTTTTATTACTGATAATGAACAAAATTCATTCAGGCGAAGTTAAGTTCTTCAATGGCATTGACACAGCAAGGCTGAATGAGTAATTCAAGATTGATATTAGTGTACAAGAGTTGACACTGAGCCTATGCTTCAAGTGGAACTAATAGCGGTGATTGGTGAAGGAGGAAGAGAAGGACATAATGTGATTGTGATCTTATTAAAACAGCTAATTACTTTTAAATTTGTCTGCATAGCTAACAGATTTGCTTAATGTATTTCAAAACTGTGACTGAAATATTTGGTATGTGATGTATCTTTTGCTACACCTAACACCTTTAGTATGTTTGTCAAATTTTTTTTTTGTTATACCCAATCTGTGATTAATGTTTTTGTTGGTCCAGTACTGCCCATAATATTCCCTTTTCCTCTTATCAGGCAAAAAGATTGAAATGGGTTGATGAAGGGTATGAACTTCTGGTATTTACTGATAAATGCTTTCAATCTGATGGACAAAGGGCCATGAGACTCCAGGAAGAATTACTGAAGGCTGATATATTAATAATTGTTGCTGTTACAAATAAAGAGTCAATCGAGTGGATTAATATCAATGACAAAGATATTGAAAATGTAATATGCTTTGATTCTTCACCAGAGTTGAAGAACAAATTAGGAGGCTATGATGTTCCCACTGAAATGAGAGGAAGTATATTTGGGAAAGTGTTGGGTAATTCTGAATTCAATAAAACTAAAGAGTCATATGAAGTAGTCCAAACTATTTCTGAAGCATGGAATCGACATAATTCTGACGATATAAGGTTCTGCTTACTGCTATTAATCAATGCATATATAAGGCCAGTTCCAGTGTTGAAGAACTTGAGAGCAAAGGGTTTTTCTACACTAAACTGTATGTTAAGGAACTGTGGTCGTCAGGTGCTTAATTGTTTGTTGGATCCCAATTGTAGAAAAGCTCTTCAATGCTTGAATAAGTGCAGTCCTGTTGATCAAGTATGCAATTATCGATGTATTGCTTCGTATGAAAGTGCATATCTAGAAGCCTTTTCACTCTGTGTTTTGCAGAAAAACAACTGTCTAGAGTTGGAAGCAGAAATCCCTGATAAGCCATATGTGCCACCGATGGTTAAGTTTCGGGAACAGGACCTAAGTTTTGAACTGTCAGAAGATCTATTTGTTGGTTGGTTGGGGAGTTTGGAATGGAGCTGGCGTGTTGTGGCAGGGCAGAACCCAGCATATGATCAATTTCCATGCCAATACCAGCTATTCTACAGGGGAAAGGCAAAAGGGTCATTCTGGTATGAACCAGTATTCCAGGTAAAAACATTCGAAGGCCAACTGGTCTGGAGGAGGAGAAAATATAGGGTTAAGAGAGGCAAGATACCAGGGACATTCTATTTCAGTGTATTGGATAATGGAGTTGTTTCGAATGAGTTTTGGACAATTGTGGATGTAGCTAATGATCTTAGTTGGGGCTTGTTCCACTATCATGGAGCCGCTCGAGCCGCAGGGCAGTCTTATACAGGGGCAGTACTTGTTAGTCCAGATGGAGCATTCCCAAATGTCAGAGAGATGACAAAAGTAATTGCTGCGTTAGAGAGATGTGGAATCAAAGAGTGGGAGCTATTTACTGTTGACAATTGTTCATGCATAGATGCTCCTTTGGGAATTCCAGAAGGTTCAAGTTTACATACTGTTGTCCAAATTGAAGATCC